TAGAATACTCCTTTAGAATTTATACATTTATATCAAAAGCGAAACGGAGTTGGTTATTTTTATGTAATTATTATTTGCGTAAAAATAATATTTATTTTGTTTCTTTCATCTCTTCCTGCGACGGGAGAGAGTTTTATTATTAGATATCAACAATAAGAGTGAAATTATTATTGGATAATTTCTAATGACTACGCATAAACATATATCCAAATCCCTGATCTTTGTTTCTATCTTTGTCTCCAGCAACAGAGAGAAAATTATTTGAATTTGTAAATGAAATATGGATTCCCAAAGGAATTACGAATCTAATTTTGCGTGATTAGAAGTACAAAATTACGACTTCGTTACAAGGTAATACTCGTCCTCGAACCTCAGAGTTAGACATTCGCGCATTTGCAATACACAGCGAACGCGCACCGTCCTTTTTCCGTATTTCGATTCGTTCGAGATTTTTTTTTTTGCGTCGATCGTAGTCATGTAAGGATCTGTAAAGCGACGTGTCACTGCGGAATTGTATTACTCACCCAGATTAATTGTGTTCGTCGGATTGTGCAGGGCAGTGTCTGCCGTTAAAATTCAGCGATGCGAAGCGCCTCTAAGGGCGGTTATTATTAGTAGACCCGTATTGAATGTGATCTCTTTCAGATTTGCATTTTCATTTTACCTTCCTCGGTCAACTTTCAACCTGTCGTTGCGACTTGCGTAAGTCGCTGGTATATATTACGCACGGTTGAAAAATAAGTCTAAGCTGCGAAAAATCGTAATTACTTTCTTTATTAATAAGTAGGCTAAGTAGTGTTTTTACGCAAATTATACACGAAATGCACGAAAAATCAAATTATATTTAATTGCGATGACGTTTTGTAAATAATAGACTTGAAAGGATTGAACTCACGCACCATGTACTGCGGAATTTTTCTGTATAGAAATGTTCGGTGTCAATAATCAAAAACCTGTCATTTCGCAATTTCCTGCCGTTCGAGGTGCTTCTAATGGCTGGCTATTATGGCGAATTATTAAACGCACTACGTATTGTATTAAAAATCAATGAATATACTACATATGAAATAAACCGAAGAGAATTACTTATCAAGCTTCTTTACTCATGCAAACATTCTCTCCCACACTATCCTTTCCAATTTTTAAAAATTCATTTTCAAGTTCTTTTTCCAACATTTTTGTCAAGTGCAGAATTTTCTGAGTTATATTAAAGTTTTAGAGAGAAAGAGAGAGAAATAATATAAATAAATATAAAAAAATATTATATATTAAATATTGAAAGTATTAAACAAATATAAGTAACAAGAAGTTGATGTAATAAGTGCCAAAATCGAGTAGTGTAAAAGTCGTATAAAAGCCTATGTAAATATTAAAATGTTATTTTGCTACATAACAAAGTATTATACATATAACAGTAATTAACAAAAATATTATAATTAAAAAATAGGTGAAGTAAAATAAACTAATTATACTTATTTATTTTAGTTTTTAATTTGACGTATATAATCGTATTGTAACTTACCTTAAAAGTTGAAAAAATTTAATATTTAAAAGAAAGAAATATTTGCATTTTGTTACCAGAAGCAAGACTATACGATTCAACTGGTTTTAACTTTTAGTATAAAATAAATATAGCTTGCGATAACAAATAAAAAATCACTTTTTTCAAATTTTCAACTTATATTGCTCTTAATACTATGTTTAATAGTTTAACAAAATTCGACACGATCAAGTTCTTGCACATTTATAGACATAAAATATATTTAGATAATAGTCTTCGTTTTCCTTTCTTATGTTAAAAAAGTCTTAAAAAGATTCGAATTATTAATTTTTAATACAGTAAAAACAGGTTACTCATTTTTCTTTAAAATACTCCTTTGAAATTTACATTCATACCGAAAGCGAAACGGAGTTGATTACCTTTACGTAATTATTATTCTTGTGAAAATAGTATTTATTTGATTCTTTTATTTCTTCCTGCGTTGAGAGAGTTTTATTATAGATATCACGAAGGAGATCGATTTGCGTACATCACTATCACAGCATTGTTAAATCACCTTTTTATCCACATTCAAATTTAAGGCCTCGAGAAAATCGGTCCGACGAGATCGATAATTATTTTTTTGCGGCAAGATCGTCGAAACCGAGACGCACGTCCGAGACGTCCAAGTGCACGCGGAGCACGTCGGCCGTTATCTCTTCTCGTCAGAGAGGGAACAGCCTCCGGAAGAGAAGATTCTGAGTCAACTCTTCTCGTCGTGGTTTCAGTGGGTGGATCCCGATGGGCGGGCTCTCAACCGTATCTAACTCCATTTTATACCATGAAGGCGGTCCGCAGGTTCTCCACACCTTCCCCTCTACCACCTGGTATCACCTTGGGCAGCGCGAGCGATCGACCTCCTCGAGGTGGAGGGAACGCGGCGGCGCACATTGCCGGCCAGGAGTTCGCGATACGCGTGTGTGCCGCGCGCCTACGGCTTCGTTCTCGCCTCTCTCGAGCGGTCTCGTTCCGTCATGACGGAGCTGTCAAGTCCGCTTTCGAGCCGGCTGTCCGATCGCGGTTGAGACCGAGGAAACGCGCGTCGGTGACGCGGTCGCGATCCCTTACGCGGAACGTGCCCCAAAGGCACGCCGATCGGACTCCGAAAGTTAGAAAAGTGTGCGTGATGCAAATCGCAACGCGGACAATCGGTTACATTTGGTTCTATGGAACGTATCGTAATTGGATATGACTACCTACGTACATATCTGTAAACCGTGCTGGGACCGTACAACCGTAGAGGAATATTTTTGGAAAGATAAGAGATGTCACATTCTTCTACGTTGACGTTATTTCGATAAGTTAAACAAATGTGCTTGATGGACATCGTGATGCAAATAATCGGTTCAAGGAAAAATCACTGTGTTGTGAATATGACATCTACGTGAACTCATGGAACGATTATTACAATATCTCGGAAAAGACAATTAAGTATATGTGGAAAAATGTGATACCCTATACACTCTTTTTTACAGTTACAAATATTAGAGCCTACACTGTGAGCAGTCTTCAGCAGTTGTAGCCGTAATAAAGAAGAGTCCCTCGATTGATTGGGAAAAGTGTTTTTTACTTTATCTCGAAGCGTTCGATAAATAAAGATTGACCATTAGTAATTGACTACGAACATATCAGCAATTTGTGATAAAAAAATCAACATCCTTTATCTGTTCATAGCGTTTAAGTAACTTCATATACCTACAATCATAATTCTTGGAAGTTTTGCCACATTTAGTGATTTCGAAGCGTTTCCGTAAAATAATCTTAGATTGATGTCACTTCGCACGGTGTTAGGGAGGAGGGTAAGATCTCTGTCGATTGTCATCTGTCATTACATGTCGAACGTCAGCTGATCGTGTGGCTGCTCGAAAATCGAAAATAATCGCGTGAGGGGCTACTTTGCTCGATACACGGCGAAGATTGAGGAGTCGCCGACTCGCTCCGAAGAGACTGGATCTTAAGAAACTGGTCGTGATCCCGCGCGAAAACAGAAGGAAGATCGAATCAGAGGCGCCGCGATTCGTAAACACAACAAGGACGGCCGAAAGTTGGACGATGTGAATCGTGAAAGAGTTCATCGATCCTCTCAGGTGCGTGCGTGTGTATGTGTATGTGTGCGTGAGCGTGTTGCAGACCCGGCAGGAGCAACTTTTGCACAGCGCCGACGCCACGATCGGTAACGCGCTCCTGATAACGATTAATGTGATAACGCACTTCCGGCCAACGGAGCTGATAATCCGATAATTCGATGATCCGTCCGAAGATGGGAAGACCCTCTCAAACGGGGAGAACGGTCATTCTTACCCGGAAGTGGAAGATGTGCGAAGCGATCACCGACTAGATCCAGCAGCGGGACGATCGGGCACGTGAGGGAGAGATTTTCCTCACGAGAAAACGATCCGTCGTGTGGTAACGCGAATCGCAGCGCAACGTCAGGAGACGCGATCATCGGACACTCGAAGATAATCGACCTCCGGGATCACGAGGAGAGAAAAAAGTGCAATCGATAACGCGTGATACGTGATCATTGTATCTGCTACTCGGAAAAACTGTGGTGAGTTAAAAACCGAGTTATCGTCGAATCCTCAGAGATATCGCATGACGACTCAACTGACGACGGTCTGCTATCTAGCTTAGGTGTGACATATCTGCGACGTGTGTTAACAAATGAAAAGACAAGCGACAGGTAAACTCTTTATGAAAATCGAGCTCCGTGAGGTCGAGTTCGCGTTGACAGGTAGTTATCGAACGAAGTTATCGAAGTTGGCAGGAAGTTGACAAGGAGATCAAATAAGTATCGACATACGATTGCGCACACGATCGAAAATTGAGTTGGATGTCCAATTTAAAGCAATTCTGAAAATAAACTCATGAATTTTGGGTCCGTTCCCTTCTTCAATATCTTACGTTTATTGGTTATTTTACAAAACGCTCCTCTTAAATTCGACATGAAGATCTCTCTCGTTCGGAAACGTTCAGTTCCACGTTGTCTCTCGTAGAGAGACACTCTGACACCGCTGTACATAACACAGATCAAGTTGTCGTTAAGTTCCCGTTGATACTGGAAGGAAGGGGGAAAACGAGAAAGGACGCTGCAACGTTTTTCAAGAGAATAGTGACATAAGTGGGGAACGACATATTCAAGTGATCCGAGATTTTGTTATCGAGTCTGTCCGATTTCGAGCTGCAAATTAGACCTCTCGAGCACCAAGTATTGCGCCGAGTAATTGCGCGTTGAATATCGTCCAACGATATCGGCAAAGGAGATTAGTGCGAGGAAACTGGCTTTTCACGCGAACGACACTCGCTTGTAATTTCGTTAATGAGGTCACGAGGCCGAAGATGCGGACGACAACGTCGACGACGGAGACGGCACGATCTCGGTGTGCGCAATGAGAGGACGTGAGATGCCGATTCCTTCCCCCGTTCGCTCCCGTTCGCGAAAATAGTGCGACTGTCGACGATGGATCTCAGCACGACGCCCAGAAGGGCCACGGAAGGCGTCGGCGATCTGCAAAAGACCAGAGTGGCGAAGAGCGTCTTCAGCATCCGCAGCCTGGTTGACGTCGAGGAAACGGAGTTCCCCGCACAGGACGACGAGCGCCCGTCAAGTGAGTCTTTAATTAATTCACTTAAGTGATCGTGCGCCGATCAAAACAATCATAATCGTAATTCCGTAATTCCAGAAATTTACGGTTCGAAATATATCCATATTTATCTCCAGTAAATGAAAATATTTACGAAGTACACTTCTATTATGAAGTACACAGAAATCAACAAATATTTTCATAAATTTCCTAATATTGAAAACTGATGTTGTTAACATACCAGCTTAAATCTCTGAATTATTTATTTAATTTTATTACAATGTCTTTACAATATTTATTTTACTTCTTTTAGTATTTTTTTTTGTGTGCACAATTTGCGTCTCGAGACGCGAAAAAGAAAATTAACAGTCATCACACTCGTAGTCCTGACATAAATCTCGATTATCAAAAATACATATAATGACGATGGGTGTGACAGTAATTTTCGAAAATATACGAAATTGATATGAATTAATCGTATATAAAAAAATATTGATAAACATACGACAGATAAAACAAAAACGTTCATTGCTCCTCCCGTATACAAGTAGAAATAAACGACTATGTTTATGATAAGTGACAGGTATATCATATTCTAAGGCCATCTGGTAGACAAGTTAATTATTGCGTTGATTAAGTTGGAAAATGTAATTATTACTAGATCTATGTAATTTGTCGTCATATAAAAACTCCATTCTGCGTGTTGATTACATGGTGCTACGGAAATCCTTAATTACAGCGATATATGGGAATAATTTGAGTGATAGTCTCGTACGTGTTTACGCACAAATCGAGCGGGACTTGACGCTTGCGACTCGGGAAGGAATTCGCGCGACCAGATTTCGTGCGGTTCTAAAAAAAAAAAAAAGAAAGAAACGCGGTCTAATTCTCGCGGCCGTAAATAGCAGGAAATTATCAATTCCGATAGAGGTCTAAATATCTGCGGCATATTTTTTTAACGGGCCAAGTAAAATAGTCAAACAGACAAAAATGTAAGTAATATAATACATATTTATACATTGAAAGTGCTTGTCGACCCGCATGCGACTCGTGAGACATTATAATTCCCCGAGACGGATTATAAAAATTCCCGCGTGTAATAACACTCGAGAAATTAGTTCGAAGAAGCATGCGAATGTTTTCATTAAATTCCACGGGAAGAAACATCGGGAAAACAAAAGATCGATCGTGACATCGGGCTTTTCGGATGGACGATCAGTTACCTCTTCGATCAAAGCCGCGCGACATTCCGGGGGCTTGAGAAACCGCGGTCCCGGGGTTTACTTTTTCCCCACGAGTGCCTTTTGTGCCAGAGATTCAGCAAAAACCGGCCGCCCTTATAAGAGCGGCGGAGTTAATTAAGGCGCATTTAAAGTCGGTAGATCGCGATAAGACGGCGATTAACTTGAAATTAGTCCGCCCATGGATCTAGCAAAAACCGTATCGCTGTCGTTATTGCCGACACGTATCGACGGTGTAGATAAATACGTGATTGAAACGATGCCCAATTAGAGATCTGGAGCAAATTATTACATCACTCCCGTAAGCCCTTCCCTGCCAGAAATTATTCCTAAATCACAGAGATTTTTGGAAAACGACAATTCGTATGTATTCTCATCGCTCGTTTCTTGGCGTTACTTTGATCCTATTTTTTTCGCGATTAATAATCATTTCATATTATTAAATAAATTTCGAATTGTTACATTTATTGCAGAATATAATTTAAAAGCATCTAGCTTTATCCATATTTATTATATGTATTATAGCATTACGTTGGAAAATTACATTTACAAAGACATGATAGTAAAATATTTAAATATTTAATAATTATATAAATATTTAATTTTTAAGTTGTTAAAATTATTCAAGGTATTTGTTCGACGAGCATTATACTCGTACAACTAGCATGCTTGCAAGCAAAATTATGACTTTTCCTATACTGAAAGAATGATTTTGCTAGATCAAAAAAATTTTGATCTAAAAATAATTTTTGTTGGAAACTCAAAAATGATAAGCATTGCTGTAAAACGTTTTGCTATTCCTAGCAATCAGTTTGATTTTCCAACAAAATTATTTTGATGATCCAACAAGAATTATTTTCTATACCCAACAAAATTTTTAAATTTTTCAACAAAATCGTTCTTTTCATGTGCGAATTGGAAGCTACATTCCTACAAACTCTGATTAAACGCTTTCGATTTTCGACTGCCGCAGCATCGCGAGCATCCGCACAGCTAGCGAACGCAGCCGCGGGAGAAGCGATACGTAGCGCGGAATAACGGAAAAAAACGCTGTCGCACGCTGCACCGCGCCGCGGCCGAGTTTCTAGTTGGCCGATATGCAAAATACCTGCCCGGCTACGATAACGCGCATTACTCGACTTTCTTGCGACGAATAAATAGCGAATTACCATTTAGTCGTCGACCGATAAAGCGAAACGAGCTCGCACGATAACGAAATCTCATTCTCCCTGCGACTCTCTATGAACTATCGGCTTGTTATCGGATAATTAACAAGATAGCGTGTTGATTAACAAATTAGGTGCGCGCCGCAACACGATGACGAACGCAGACACCGCGATATTAAATTGGGAGAAATTGCGCGACGAGCATCACGCGATGTTCTAATCGGGGCAGCCGACAAATTAGATGTGTACAGCGTCAAAGGTTTTATTTGATTAATAACAAAAATACTTATTGATTTGCACGTCCTCGTTTATTTATTACTGCATATGTGCGCCGTATGTTTGCGTAACCTTTAGCTTTCTTTATCTGAGAAACTAGGATGCGTCCCGTCTTAAATTCTTGCTTGCCTCACACGCTACACCCATACGACTCTTTAATCTTCAACGTAAACCTCCGTACATTGACCGACTCATACACCGGGGGCCCGATCAAGTTTACGAGACACGTAAAACGAATTATGTTGCATACAGATAAGCGCGCGTACAAAATAAGAATTGCTAATCAAATGTAGTCGCGGTGCACGAAGGAGTTAATGAATTTCGCTCGACAGAAAATAGACACGTGGCAATTGTATCTTAAAAGATAATCATTATCACCCAAGAGGAATTACTATTGTTGTTAGCCGAACTTCTTATTGGTTGCCTAGACATTTTTTCCTAGATATATATGTATATATTCATATTTTTTCCTAGATATATAAATATAAATATATTAATTTCTATTCGCAAAAAGAAATAGAGGATGAACAGGTTCTCACTCGATTATTGCTAAGTAATTTCCGTGCACAATTGTAAATTTTTTTCAGTTTACTTTGTCATCGATGTTCGGAAAGAGGACAGGACTGTATAATTATCGCCACATTAATGCCTCACGGGTATTATTAGCGTACTCTTGCGTACTTTGTAGGTAAATATTTTAAAAGTGGGTATAAATAATTACCCACTGTGCAGACGCATAGATAAGCGGGTTCAAGTAGGTGGCTTAACAATACCGCGGTACAGCGAGTAAAAATGTTTTAAAGTTACTTTTACCGCGGTAATTACTGTCAGAGTCGATAAAAGAATATTTATTTCAATCTAAAAGTTCGAATTATCCGATTGGCTGATGATATTATTTTAACATTTTCGAAAATTGCTGTCAAATATATTTATATACTTTATACATTATATTCGCCGTATTAATGCACCACGATTTTAATTTCACGATAAGTTTCACAGGCAATATGATTTATTATATAAAACTTTCTATAATCGCTGAAATATTATAAAGTTCAACAAAATTACAATTAAAACAGTAATATTTTGATCAAATTTATTATTTAATTTAGAACGTCGTTAATTAATTTTTTCCGTTGCTTTAGTTCTTTCTAAAGTTTACTTTTCTTTTAGACGATTAACAGAAAAATAATTAATGCGAAATTAAAAGTATCAAACGTAATTTAAGATATTTGAAGCGTTTGCGCGTTCGCGATTTCCCTCGAAACTGCACACGCTGACTTTTCTATTTAACGATAGAAATATCTCGGGGGATGAGATGGCATGTGCATAGCCCAACCGGGGGTTTATCGCCGCCATATTACAATCCGGTCTGGTCGATTAAACGCTATAAATGGCCATGACAGAAGGTGTAATAGAATTGGGGTAACTCCGAGCCAATGGCGCTCCGCGATTAGGGTGGTTGTTCGTGCTCGATTGGCTTTCACGAGCGAGGGTTGATGTTCCCCGGCGGGTAAAGCTACGTCTTTATATCCTCCCATCAGTTCCCGTTATCCCATTACAGAAACGACCCACCCTCGCGTTTAAAATTTCATCGTTGTAGAAACGTTACAGTCCCGCGCTCACAAATTCTCCATTCAAATTAGTGATTGCAGTATAATTGCATAAAATTACGAAACTTTTTATCGTCGACTACGTCTGAAACCAGCCGTTTAATATTTCGAACGTTAAGACATATTTACGAGAATCTCTTTCTTAGTACTGTTCGATACAAATTTCTTTCTTCGCCAGAATGAAGACTTATTTTTTTTATCATTGTTTTACTTATTATTATTATATTTAATTTAATCAAAAAGCGACATTTTCGAAACTTAATAAAATGTTTGTTCTCTTAATGTATAATTGCAAGAAAAATGATTAAGAGAATGATTTATTAAATAAGAAATATGATTAAGAAAGATTTTTGATGATTTGTTATTTGATATATAATGTACTTGATAAATTTTCTAACTTGTAATTAAGAATATCAAGCATAAAAATTTAATCCTATTATAAATAATAAATAAAAATAAGCATTTTGTGCTGTTAGAATTATTCACTAAACGCTGCACGATTGACGGCATCGTTAAAGATATAATCATCGGACATGGTTTATAAGTACGCGACAAGCCGCAATCTATGGCGCACGAATTAAATTTGCGAGTCGATTAACAAGACTAATAATCGAGGCTTGTAATCTTACAAAGTCATCGTACTACTTCTCGTAATTAACGTGTAATTTAATGTAAATGTTTTATATGAAAATGAATTTATGTAATACATATCATAATTTCTTTCATGCGCT